GTTAGAGTCTGTAAACAAGTCTGGATGACACCTGGCAAAATGCCAGAGGGAGTGGTTTGTGAAGTAAGGCCAGCGAGCCATTAAGTGTGGAGATTTCTTATTGGTTGACTGATGTATCTAGTTTATGCTAATTAAGATAAGCTGTGCGGAATGTATAAATACTGCTCCTGTCCTACAATAAACGGCTCCTACTCCTGCTRTATCAATGTACACAAGTTGTTCATCACCCCCTGGGTATTTTGCTGCAGCCGGACTGAGGCAGCACCATTTGTTGAATAGGCTATGTTTTTGGAGCCTTTGTTCAGTATGAGATAATAGTATTTATGTAGTTTTTTGTCTCTGTGTCTCCTATTCTGTACCATTGGACTACATGTATATTTTGATGTCAATACCATGCCATTTTTATTACTATTGCTCTGTAGTATAGTTTAAGGTCTGGTATATGATGCCTCCTGCTTCACTCTTCTTGCTAAGGATTGCTTTACCTATTCTGAGTCTCTTATTTTTTCAAATGATTTTTTTTTTAGTCTCCTGAGGAGAGTGCACTCTTCCTGAAGGTATTTCGATACCAGGTCAATGTGTGGAGTGGATGGAGCAAGCTCCTATTCCATTTCCCTGCTCCAAAAATCCATTTAATATATTGTCCTCAGTTAGAGAACATATCAGATATTAAACTGATAAGAACAGATACTACACTTGATTTTAGCCAAAAGGCCAAAAAGGGATTCCAAATGAATTTTATAATTGCTTTTTCTAGTTCTGTGAAGAACCTAACTTACCAACTTTGGGAAGGATTTTGGTGGGGAAAGAGAACCATGCAATTCAAAGTATAGAGGAAATGATTTAAGAACACCATCTGCTTAGATAACTTTTTTTTTCATTTATTTAGGCATCATCTTTGTGAGCTATAAAAGTTTATTTTTTTGACTTTGAAGTTKCAACAAAATACAAATATTCTTTTTGGATTAACTTATAATTTTGAAGAGACCTTTTAAAAGTTTTAGAATAATTTATATTATTGGGAAAATTGCAAAGATGTACACATAGTTCATCCAGATTCCCTCATTGTCAATATCTTATAATGTCATAATATATTTGTCACAATTAAAAAAACACTGGYGTTTACTATTAACTAAATGCCAGACTTTATTTGGATTTTGCCAGTTTTTCCACTGATGTATTCGGTGGGTTCCAGGATCCTGTACTTAGTTGTAATTTCTCCATGGTCTCTTATGGTTGAGGTCAGCTTCTCTCTTTGCTTTTTGTTCATGCCCTTGACCATTTTGAGGAGTTCTGTCTGGAGGTCCTGTAGAATGTCTCTAAACATTGTGTTGGTCTGTCATTTTTTTTTTCCATACGTTTACTCTGGAAAAGTCTAATATTACATTGGAAAAATCTTGCAGGTTAAGTGTCTTTAATGTCATATCACATTGGGAGCTTTATGWTGTCCACATGATACCACTGAAGATGTCCACCTTCATCACACTGTAATTTCTGAGAATGTTTAAGAATAACTCTAGAGCTTGTTGGAGCATTTCATCACCAGAAAGGGGATGTGAAGTTTAAAGGGGGGCATTGTCGGATGTTCTGTCCTCTGATGTCCCCCCTCTTCCATGAGTCAGTAACCTGACTTTCTCTAGGGTCAATGTCCTTCTCCAAATAGGAAAGGACAAGAAAAAAYGCCAGCCATGTTAAATGGCGTTTGGTTTATACCTGCACAGCCAGAGCAGGAGGAACACATTGGCTTCCGGTAATTTACAAAGAAGCTCTGCTAGGTCATGTCTCGCCCTCCCACAGCAAGACCTTTGAAGTAAGAGAACATTCCCTGGGAGAATGATACATGGCCCCATTGTAATTGTGTCAAACACCTAGATAAATCTTGAAATTAAGGAGCCACAGCTGGGGATGGGCAGAGACTCCTTCACTCCCAACCTTTCAGACTCATCTAAGTGTTCCTAGGCTGGTTTTGCAGAAGTCGCTTGCCCTCTTTTCCAGGGTAAGAGGGCTACTCCTGAAACCCTCTTTGAGTCTAGTCATAAAGATATTTTCTAAAACATACACAATGTGCTGAAAATAATCTCCTTTTTTTTCAGGTTTATTTTTCTTTTCGTGCATACAGCCTGTACATAAGCAATTTTTAAAAATTATTTCATATTTTAAGGKGGAGAAAAAGTCTCTGTATGCATTGATCTTACCTAATAAACCAGAACTCTTATTCTTAGGTGAACTTGGGAAGGGATAAAGAACAAAGGGAAATGATGACTTTTTTATTTGCTTATGTTCTGTGTAGTTTAAAATGAGCCATGCCAACTTCCTTTTAGGAGTACGTCAGAATACTGACTGTCCTACGTTAAAGGTATATGATTTAGTAAATAATACAAGTTTGACATTGAGTTGGCTATCTCCTACATCAACCTCTGAACCTCAGGGGAAGGAGAGGCCCATGGATATACAAACAACAAAGACTAACTTCTGGAAATTACAACTTCTCTCAAGACACAGTTCCATGTGGACTTTTACTACATTTTTGGTTTTAAATGGAGATGAGGAGGATTTGCACAAATTGAACCATATGACACAATCCTAAAAACTAAATTTAATTTTGCAAGGCTTTTAGCTGGATGAATTCTGTTTCAATTAGAGAGACTAATTTAGAAGAACTTTCAAAGCACTCTTTTACAGAACATTGAAAATGTTAAAGTCAATGTCATCGTGTTCAAGTTTATTAAAGAGAGAGACTGCAAATTAAACACATTGTTTTTGGAAATGGATCCTCTTCTAGTATTTGCCATAACTCTAGCTTTAAAAATATTGATAAATGATCAATTTGCAGTTAAGTACATATTTTGAGGTGTACAATTGAATGTGATTGACATATTTATGTATCAATGAAACCATTATCACCAGAGTTAAGACAGAGCATATCTATCACTCCCAAAATTGCCCATGTGCTCCTTGGTTATGCCTTCCTCATTTCCCATTTGCATTTTCTAAAATTATATAAATTAAATCATATATACTGTACAAAGACAGCTTCAGCCAAAGTGAGGCACTAAGCAAATCAGAGAGATCCTGTCTCTAAATAAAATACAAATTAGGGCTGGGGATGTTGCTCAGTTGTCAAGTGCCCCTGAATTCAATCCCTAGTACCCTGGTACCAAAAAAATAAAATAAAATCTGGCTTCCTGCACTCAGCACAGTTATTTTGGGATTTGTTCACACAGTAGTGTATATCAATAGTTCATTCAGGTTTATTGCTAAGTAGCTTCATTTGTGTGGATATATCATACTTTTTCATGCATTCACCTGCTGATTTACATTTCAGTTCCTTCCAATATATGGCAATTACAAATGGCCCTTAATATTTGTGTACAAGTCTTTAAATGGACATATCCTTTTTTTCCCTTAGTTAAATAACTAGGAGGGGACTGGCTGGATTACATGGTACGTGTATATTTAATTTTGAAAATAACTACCCAGATATTTTCCAAAGTGTCTGTGCCATTTTAYATTCCCTATAGTAGTATATGATAATCCCAGTTTCTCCACCTAGCATTGTATACACCAATCTTTTTAAAATTTCAATTTCTGATTGTTCTTTGCTGGATATAAATAAAATTGATTTTYGTGCACTTATTTAGCATTCCACAACCTTACTAAACTCACTTACTAATTGTAGTACTTAAATTTTATAGAGTGAATTAAATTTTCCACATTGGCAGTTATGTTTTCCGCAGATTAAAAAAAAAAAAGTTTTCCTTTTTCCTTTCAAAATGGATTCGTTTTTTTCAAGCACTGGGGAATGTAGTTCATAAAGTGACTCTGGGTTCAATCCCCAGTACTACATGCAAAGCGGGGATTCCATTTTACTTTTCTTTTGGTCTTTTGACTCTGAAAAGAACCTAAAGCTCAATGATGAATAATAATGCTGAGCACAGATATCACATTATTTTATTTTATTTTATTCACAGTACTGACAATCTGGATTCAAATCCAGTGGCACTGTACTACTAAGCAACAATTCCTGCCCATTTTTATTTTTTATTTTGAGATGTGGGCCTCACTCAAACTGGAGTTCCAAACTGAACTCCAGTTTTCTAACCTCCTGCCTCAGCCTTCCAAGCAKSGGAGATTACCGKTATGCACCACCATGCCTGGCAACCTCCTGATTTTAACACTTAATTTATGCTACAGAGATTGAGAGAATAGGATTGCTTTCAAGATATAAGAATGCATCAGTGAACCAAGAAAATAAAGTCACAGGCATATTTACTTTTTCTCCATCTTAGAGGAATAGTATCTAATCTTTTATCACTAAGTATCATGTCAACTATAGAGTAGAAGGATGAAGGAGTCCCTATTCCAACTTCGCTGAAATTTTCTTGACTCAAGAATGAAGTTGAACTATTGTTGAATTCTTTTTCTCACCTAAAACCTTTTTTTGCTTTTTAAAAATTTGTAACATGGCTTGCTACATGCATTGGTTTTTAAATGTCAGACCAGATCAAACTTGCATATCTGATAAACTCCACTTGATACAGCATTTTGCCCATTTTTATGTGTAGTTGGATTCAATTTGCTAAAATTTTGTTGAGAATTTTTACATCACTTTATGAGTTCTCTGTTTCCATTGTCTGGCTTTAATATCAGGGTAATGCTGTACTCCTAAGTTGAGTATTCAGTAGATTAGTTTTCTGTGGTTTCAAAACAAACAACCACAAGCACAGTGCTTCAAACTAGCACCAATTTATTAGTTTAGAATTCAGAGTATCAGAAAACCATCACAGTGTGGCCAACTACTCAGTTCAGCATACCACAAGACTACGAAGGTGGGAAGGTGGTGTTGGCTGGACTGGGACCTTGTGTGGAGATTTGGGAAAATCTATTTCTCAGTTTCTTCTTCCAGAGAGGATTCAGTCCTGAGTAGTTGTAGAATAGAGATCCCTGTTTCCTTGTTAGCTGCCAGCCCAGGGCCACTCTCTGTCCTAGAGTCTCCCCACATACTTTTCTATATACCCCACTCACCTTTAAGCTCTCCAACAGAACATCTAGTCCTACATACAGTTTAAGTTTGTGATTTTTTTCTCTCTGTCAACTGACAGAGAAAACTCATTCCAAAGGGTCCATCTGATAAGGTTTGGTCCACCCAGACAATTTTCCTATCTTTGAGTCAACTGATTTGGAAACTTAATTACATTCTTTCATAGTAACACCAAGATTAGTGTTTGCTTGAAAACCTGGGAGAGGATGTGAATACAATTCATTAGTAGAACTGTTTAGGCTTTCAGTTTTGTTTTGTTTTTTTKTTTKTTTGTTTGTTTTTAAGGGAGARTTGCTTACTAAAAAACTCAATTTCTTTAATGTATTCAGAATCATGCAAGATACATATTGCTTCTTGCATGAGGATTATTAATTTATATCTTTCAAGGAATTTGTCTAATGAATTTGCATTGTAGAATTTACTRCCACAGTTACTTATAAAAACCCCTTCATAGTCCAGTATATATTCTGTCCATTGAATTTTATCAGTGAGTAATTTGGAYTTTCTTCCCTCTTTCCTGGATCAGTCTGCCTAGTTTGTCAAAATTATATATTGATAATCTCCAGTAATTAGTTCTTAGTTTCCTTTATTTTCTTTAATATTTTCCATGTCTTATTATCTTATCTATTTTCATTCAGATCTTTGTTATTCACTTTTCCTGCTTAATTTGGGTTAAATTTCCTCT